GATGCCCTGGCCCCTGGCATGAGCGGAGGGAAGAGCTTTCCTCCAGGCCAGGGACTTGAATCTGGTGCCATTAGCCAGGTGCTGTGTGGGCCCATCCCAGACCCTCTTGCTGGACTTCCTGGCAGTAAGAAATGCAAATGTTATTGCTGGTCAGCCTCTGCGGCCTGTTTCTGGGCCAGTCTCGCTCTGCTCCCCCTCCAGCCCCACCAGGAAGCTGTTCAGAGTGAGGGGGGCACAGACCCCAGCTGCCTTTGAAGTGTGTTTGTTTAAGGAAGGCAGCAGGCCTGTGCCCCCTGCTCGGGGAGGAGCCTGACAGTGCTGGCGGCCTGCCCGGAGGCTCGAGGAGAGGGGGAGAGCCGGGTGGGCGCAGGCGGAGGCAGCGCGGACTCTGGTGAGTGTGGCCCCTGGGACACGCTATGGCCTGGGCTCCTGTCATGCCAAGAGATTGTAGCCCTGGGGCCGGGGGCATGGGAAGCCAGAGAAGGGGGTGAGGCTGTCCTCAGGGAGGTGGGGACAGCCTGGGGAAGCCACGTGGGGAAGTGGGTGTCTGGGAGCATGGGCTGGATGCTGCTGGGTGCAGAGAGCCAGGGCGATCCGTGACCAAAAACGCCAACGAGATGGGGCCTGGCTTGTGCACCTGGGCCGTATGTGGCTCCTGGACCCCAGCAGCACAGCTCCAGCAGCGCCCGCCCCCCGGGCAGAGGAGAGAATCTCTGAGGGCAGTTGCGGGACAGATGACCCTTGTCCCTGGCTGTGCCTGGGGTGGGTTCAGGTGCTCTTGGTGCCATCAGGTGCACCCTGGGTCATGGCTGCAGTGGGCTCGTTGGCGCTTCTTTGTCACCGCCACTATGAGAAGGAGCCAGTGAGCAAGCAGAAGCAGGGCGAGTTTCACCAGCACCTTGTGGGCCCTGGGACCTGGGCCAGTCCTGGACTGCTTCCCCAGCTCGGGGCAAGGTGCGCCATGCCAAGGCTGCTCCACGTTGACACCTGTGTGATTCAGGCACTACAGCACATGGTTGGCATTTGGCTGCAGAGTCACCCCTCTTCTCCAGATCACAGACTGAGAAAGCGAACTGAGAGGAATTTCCCTGCCTGAGCAAAGCTCCATGCCCTCCGCGGGTGGCACCTGCACGAGCCCTGCTCCAGGCTTACCCTCAATGAGGGTGGGGAATGGCCAGGGACCTGCAGCATCGCTGTGCAGGAGCATGTGGACCAGGCCCAGGGGTTGTAGAGCTGCAGGCATTTGGAGCTGCATGGGCATGGTTTGCGCCAGCAGGTTCCTGGGCAGCCTGGCCCATGGATGCCTGGTGCGTTGGCAGCACTGTCCTCCCTGGGGCCTCTGCCAATGCAGCAGGTGCTGGGAGGGACCCTGGTGGTTGCTCAGAGAGCTCTGCTCTGCCTTGCGAAGATGACCGGGCCAGAGTCTGCCTGCCCCACTCAGTGAAAGGAGCTCTGGGGCCAACAGGCAGTTGGGAGCTGCACGGTGCAGAGTGAGGACTGCCAGGCCTGCAGATTCACAGCCCAGTCACCGATCAGCCAGGAGGCAGGCCTGCCTTTGTCTGCGCAGCCGCAGTGCAGATGCCCCTTGGCAGGCGGATGCAGCTCTCCAGCCAGGAGCTCCTTCTTGCCGGCTGCTTCAGCTTGCAGCACCGCAGGACAGTCCATAAAACACGGCGACAGCATTTGTCTTCTTCAGCCCATAAAAGCCTGGATGGCCTCAGCCACGGGGCAGAGGCACTGGCTCCTGTTCCAGCCGTGCTCAGCAGGGATCTGGGGACCGGGCAGCCCAGCGCAGAATGTGTCTGTTCCAGCAAAGGGAAAAGGAGCCACTAATGAGGCTCCTGAGAGCCTGGCTCTGAGATCTGAGCGCAGGGAGGAAGCGTGTGCGAGCCATGGAGCAGGAGGAGGGGAGGGGGAGCAACAGGGCAGGAGTCTTGGCTGCAGCCCATTCAGGCCACCCCTATGCTTCTGCAGTGCTACGGTGGGGTGGTGGCAGGTCACTTCAATGGACATTGGGCTTGGGGTGGAGAAGGAGGCTGGGACCCAGGAGAAATACAGCCTGGAGCTACCGTGTACCCTGAGCTGAGGGGAGTTTGCCCAAGGAAGTGTCAGAGCCAGGCCCAGGGTGGCTGTGTTAGGGAAGGAGGGACAGCTGAGAGATGAGAAGGGCTCTGGAGCATATCTGAGGTGCGTTACCTGGAGGGTGAGGGCAGGAGAGGGGTGTAGATGCTGCTGAGCTCGATGCGCCAGGGTGGTGCAGTTCTGGGTGCATGGGTGTGAGGCAACTGATGTCTGCAGTGGGGTACTGTGAGGGCAGGAAGCACAATGCCCCTGGCAGTACTCACACAACTCTTGCTGGGTATGAAACCGTGGTTTGTTTTCTCTGAAATTGGAGAGGATCTGAGACAAAGGAGCCCAACTGGGGCCAGCAGGACAGGTCTGGCCAGTTTGGTGGGGCCAAGAACCCTTCTGCGTCAGGTGTGGGCAGCAGCAGAGCCAGCTTCTGGCCCAGCCGCTTGGGTGCCCGACCGTTGCAAGCTGTGATCCCCACTGGGCGGTGAGGACATGCCGTGGCCCCTGCGGCCCAGCTGGTTTGGAACCTGCAGGCGGCTGCCTTTAGGACAGGCAGTGACAGGAGAAGAGACACAGGTGAGAGGAGCCGGAGGACTGAGGCCCAGGACCCAACCTGTAGCTGTCCTTCCCTGGTCAGCAGGGGCTGGACAAGACTGCAGGATGCCAGCGAACCCGCTGCAGCCGTGACCCAGGGCAGTTTGTGCAGGGTGCATGATAGTTTCATAGTTTTAGGGTCGGAAGGGACCTAATAGATCTTCTAGCCCGACCCCCCGCCAGGGCGGGAGAACAACAAAAGAACCCTAAACAAAAAACGGGACTCAAATGAGTCCAGCCAGGTAGGTATCCAGCCTCTTCTTAAAGATCCCCAGGGTAGGGGCCAGCACCACCTCCCTTGGAAGTTGGTTCCAGCTCCTAGCCGCCCTAACTGTGAAGTAGTTTTTTCGGATGTCCAATCTGTACCTCCTCTCCATCAACTTGTGCCCATTACTCCTTGTTATGCAGCGGGGGCTAGGGGAAACAGCGTCTCCCCCCAACCCTTCTGGTTCCCCCTAGTGAGTTTATAGATGGTCACCAGGTCCCCCCTCAGCCTTCTCTTGTGGAGGCTGAATAGGTTCAGGTCCCGCAGTCTCTCACTGTAGGGTCTGCCCTGTTGTCCCCGGATCATGCGGGTGGCCCTCCTCTGGACCCTCTCCATGTTGTCCACATCCCTCCTGAAATGGGGCGCACAGAACTGGACACAATACTCCAGCTGCGGCCTGACCAGCGTCGCATAGAGGGGGAGGATCACCTCCCTGGCTCTACTCGAGATGCACCTGTGGATGCACGACAAGGTCCGGTTAGCCCTGCCAACCATGACCTCGCGTTGTCGGCCCATGTTCATCTTGGAGTCAATAATGACACCAAGATCCCTTTCCGCCTCCGTGCTCTCAAGTAGGGAGTTCCCCATCGTATAAGTGTGCTGCTGGTTCCTACTACCCAAGTGCAGCACCCTGCACTTGTCCGTATTGAAACACATCCTGTTCCTGTTTGCCCACCCCTGTAACCTATCCAGATCCTTCTGCAATCTCTCTCTCCCTGCTAGCGTGCTCACCTCCCCCCAAATTTTGGTGTCATCAGCGAATTTAAACAGGTTGCTTTCCACCCCAACATCAAGATCGCTGATGAAGAAATTGAACAGCGCAGGCCCCAGGACCGAGCCCTGGGGGACTCCACTACCCACCTCCCCCCAAGTCGAGTATGATCCATCCACCACCACCCTCTGAGTGCGACCCTTCAGCCAATCTGCAATCCATCTGACTGTGTAGGCATCTATGCCACAGTCGCCTAGTTTATTAATTAGGATGGGGTGAGAGACGGTGTCAAAGGCCTTGCTGAAGTCCAGAAAGACTACATCCACCGCGACACCTGCGTCCATGGCCTTTGTGACCTGATCATAAAAGGCAATCAGGTTGGTCTGACATGATCTCCCCCTAATAAATCCATGCTGATTGCCCCTGAGCATCATCTCGGATGCCGGCCCATCACAAATGTGCTCCTTGATGATCTTCTCAAAGAGCTTCCCCAGGATTGAGGTAAGACTGACGGGCCTATAATTGCCCGGGTCCTCCCTTTTCCCTTTTTTGAAGATGGGGACCACATTAGCTACCTTCCAATCGTCTGGCACCTGGCCCAAGCACCACGATCGCTCGTAGAGCCGTGCCAGGGGCCCTGCAATAACCCCAGCCAGCTCCCTCAGCACCCTGGGGTGGAGAGCATCCGGACCCGCTGACTTGAACGCGTCCAGCCCCTCCAGAAGCTCTCTAACCCGGTCCTCCCCAACCTGAGGTCTGAAGGCGATCCCCTCGCGTCCGGCTTCTATCACAGCAGGGAAGTCCCGGTCCCTGCACAAGAAAACGGAGGTGAAGAATTGGTTAAAGAGGTCCGCTTTATCCTCTGACGCAACCACCAGATTGCCCCGCATATCCTGCAGGGGCCCCACATTACCCGGCGCCTTCTTCATCCTCCCAATATATTTGAAAAAGGACTTTTTGTTATCCTTAATCCTGGACGCTAATCCGCATATCCTGCAGGGGCCCCACATTATCCGGCGCCTTCTTCATCCTCCCAATATATTTGAAAAAGGACTTTTTGTTATCCTTAATCCTGGACGCTAATCCGAGCTCTATATCCGCCTTGGCCTTCCTAACAGCCCGCCTGCAGGCCTGAGCAGAGGAGGTATACTCCTCTTTGGAGATTACACCCCCCTTCCACCGGGCGTACGCCGCCTTTTTGGCAAGCAGGCATTCCCGGACACCCTTGGTGAGCCAGGGGGGCTTTTGGACACTCCTCCCCCCCTTGCTTCTTGTCGGGATGGACACCCCTTGGGCCCCGAGAATCGTTTCCTTAAGGAACGACCACTCCTCTTGGACGCTGAGTTCCTCTGCCCTCAAGGACTGATGCTACGCAGGTGTTGGTCGGGGCTTGCCCCCACACTGCTCGTGCCCCAGCTGGCCGGGGCCTGCTGGGGACATCTTGTATTGTGCTCACGCCTGCCTCATAATAGCCGTCGGCAAGGCCTGTTCTTTGCCCTCGGGCTCTGCAATGAGAATGTAGAGCCACTTCCACACAATGTTTTACCCGTTGCTGGCACAAGCGCCCTTGGCAGAAACCCCTCAACACGGGCAAGCCGTCCCGCCGCAGGGAGACGGTGCTGTTTTGTGTCTTGCTGTAGGATGAGGCTGTGGAGGTTTCCCCAGGCGCTCGCTTGTTCTCTGGTGAGAGGTTTGCAGAGCTGTACTGAGTGGCCTGGACAGCCCATGGGGCACGAAAGCAGTGTCAGTCTGGGTGGGATCTCCCTACTCTGGGTCGCTCAGCCCTGTCTGCTCGGTGGGGCAGGAGGTGCGTTGCTTTGGGAGGCAGAGGCTGCTCCTGGCTGCTTGGGAAGTCCTTGGTGGTCAGAGAGCTAGGGAAGAGCTGGTCTCTACTTGCCCCAGCCCGTCCCACGAGGTGGCTGATTTGGCCTTGGCCTGGCCGGATGTGGGTGATGAAGTGGTTTCCCTCAGCTTGCTGGGAAGAGGGGTTCAATCGGATCAATTCCCAGCCCTTGCAGGAGCTAGATGCAAACAGTAATTGAATCCCTGGTTAAAGAGACGGTCTCCAGCTGCCTTCATTCCTGAGGCCGGGAGTGGCAGAGTCCTCAACCCTCTCCTCTGTGTATGGTGAGCCTCGCAAAAGCTCACTGGAGCCCCTGCTTCTGGGGTCGGGGGATGTCTCTGCCCCCGTTTTGGTTTAGAAAGTGCCCCTGGCCCCTGCTGCTGGGGGAAAGCTGGAACCGGAGCCCTCTGCTCCAGAGCCCGGCAGTCAGGGGACCCTGCATGCCTTGTGCCGAAGTCACTCGTTGCTGCACTGTAGCAGCCTCGCAAGTTTGTGCCTAGACAAGCCACGGAGAGGAGAGGAGAGGAGAGGCAGGACAGTCGCATCCTGCTGATGCAGGCTCCAGAGGCACCGTGGGGAGGCTGGGAGCCTGGGTGCTGGGCCTGGCCAGGCCAAGAGCAGCTTGGGTCCTGAGCTGTCTGCAACTGCGGGAAGGGCATCCTTGCAGTGCGGCCTGCTGCCAACTCTGAGGCAGCTTCAGGCTGAGCAAAGCCTTGCACTTGCCTAAAGCAAATGCTTTTTCTGGCTTTGTTTCTAGGCAGCTTGTTAGTGCCAGAGCAGGGGGCTGCTACCGTCTGCCACATCCTGCTGGTCAGGGCGCTCCTGGCAGACATGGGTTCAAAGCCCTACTTGTGCCAGTAGGCTGCTTGGGGTGGGGGCTGCACCCTGCCATTTGACTAGAAATAAATAAGCAGCAATGGGAGCAAGGACTGGCACAGGGGTCACGGGGAGTGCGCCATTATAGGGCTGGAGCTGGGCTCACTCCTCCCGGGGCGCTTCACCTGTGAACAACCAGCGGGGAGGCAGAGCAGACTGGCCCTATGTGGCTAGCATACTGTCGGCCACGGTTCCCTCAGGAGCTGTGCATCCTTGCCTGATCCAGAGCAGGACTTGGGCATGAGGGGACTTGACTCCCTCTTGCCTGCCTGAATCGCAGAGCAAGGGAAGCAAGTGCCTCCAGGGCCTTGCCAGGCTCCCAGGAACACACCAGGACTGCAGGACGTCTGCCCACACCCGGGTAAAGCGCTGCACCACTCCCGGCTGGCTCGCTCCATTCTCAGTCCAGCTGTGGTGACTCACTTGGAGCATGTCTGCAGGTGTGGGCAGGCAGAGAGGGCAGGGGCCCAGTGTGGGGGGGTCACAGCTGGGGTGTGAGGGAACCAGACCCTAGACGGCCACAGCCTGACTTTTGACCTTTGTCTCCTCAGATCTAACCGGGCTGGTGGCCCCTGTCCCACCATCTGGGCCTCAGCATCTCCTCCTCCTGGCCCTGGGCAGTGCCCTGGGTGGTTACCATGGAGAATGAACAGTTGCAGGTACCACCTCCATCCAGCAGCTCAGCCAGCACCAGCACCACAACCAGCAGCAGCAGCAACGGGCGCCAGCCGGGACCCCAGATCTCCGTGTACAGTGGGATCCCAGACCGCCAGACTGTCCAGGTAAGGGGCCGTGGGCCATGGTGGGAGTCCGGTCCTGCTGCTCTGAGGCTTGTGGTCAAGGGACCGGATGGTCACAGCGGGCCCTGCAGTGTGAGTAGCAGTCTGTCCTGGGGAGGGCAGAAAGTACCAGGCCACCTTGGACTCCGTTTCCATCCTTGGAGACCCTCTTCTGCCAGGCAGCAGATGCAGGCTCCCGCGGTCCTCCACCCGCCCGTCCCTTCAGCCCATCATGGCTCGGACACAGGCTGCCCCTCCTGCAGTGTCTGATACGCACCTGCACAGGTAGCGACGGTTTGTTAGTGCCAGAAGGGCACAGATACAGTTGTGTGGGCAGGAGCTGCGAGCCCTGGGGACACCCACTCTGCATCGCACCCTGGAGCTTTGAGGCTGGTGGGATGTGCTGAGTGAGAAGTGATGGGACATGGTCTGCCCACAGTGACCTTTGAGCCCCTGGCTCTGGGGCCCTGGGGTTCCCAAGCAGGAGGAAGGCACCGATAGAAATGGGATAGAATTAGGATTAAATAGGACAGAATTCAAGGTCACGTGTTTAGGGGCTAAGCTGAGAAGGCATCAGTGAGAAACAGCAGAGGAGTGGTGGCGTGTGCTAGCTGATCTTGGGGTGATCACAAAACACTGGCATGGTCCAGACAGGAGCAAGGCCAATCACGAGGGCATTGCCAGGAGAGACGGGGAGACAGTGCCATGGTCTGAGGCCTCCTCTGGGGCACAGTGACCAGCTCTGGCTGCCCCTGTTCAAGAACAAGGATCCCAGTGATCCGGCTGCAGGGGAGGCTGGTGGGACAACTGGGGCATGGAGCCTGTCTGTGGGGGAGGGGGAAGGGGCTAGAAGGGCCTGGCTCGTTCAGCCTGCAAAGGAAGGGCGAGGGGCTGTGCCTGCTGTCCCTGAACACCTCTGTAGAGAAGCGGAGAAGGGGAAGAGGCACTGGAGCCTCAGGGCCGTGCTGACGTGAGAGCAGATGGGTTTACAGCCTTGGATGAGGTTAGGCTGGAAATCAGAGGGAGGTTTGTGACTATGGGAGCAGTGGGTGCTGGCCCACCTCCCAGGGGAAGCGCGGGGGGCAGCACAGAGCCTGCGGGTTTTACACCAGGCATTACACAGCAGGGATTGGACTGGGGTGTGGGCAGCCCCTCCTGGTCCAGCATCCTCGATAGGGACGTGCTGTGACCCAGGAGGCCCTGCCAGCTGCTGCGATGCACCTTGGTGCTAGGAACTCCAACCCAGTGGGGTCGGGTGGTCCATGTTGCATTGGCGCTTGACAGGATGTGCTGTGGGACATGCATTCAGGATCCCCCATGCTCCCTTTGTTGGAGCCCCTTGCTGTGCCCGCCCCTGTCCTGCACACACACATGCACACCCCACCACACGTGCAAGCCCTGGGTTCCCATCTCCCCTCCTGTCCCAGCACCAGATGCCTGTGGGCTTTGCTGCCTTGGCAGCCTGGAGCAGGGGGGTCCCAGGCGGGCAGCACGTGCAGCCGCAGGCAGAGCACGGGCGGGCAGCACCCTCTACTGGGCACTGGGGGAGCGAGCGGGGAGCGAGCCCAGCGCCTGAGCTCCCGGGCTGTGGTGTCTAGTGCTGGAGGGGCAGCGGGGCTGAGGGCCCCTTGCCCGTGCTCGCGGGCAGCATGTTGCCCACAGGGGCCTCTCCAGCACGGCCTGGGGCTGCTGGAACCTGACCTTTCCCCAGGCAGGCGGCTGCGGCCCTTGGGCCCTGCGCTGGGGAAGGCCGACCCTGCCTCCCCACGTCTCGTGTGGGCTCCCGTGGGGCCTGATCCTGCACCCATGGCGCCTGGCATGCCTCGGGCATGACCCGCTCTCCTGGCTCGGCCCTCGGCTTGCCTTCCGCCGCCTGGACTTCCTTGGCCGTCCTCTCGCCTCGATGTATTGTAGGACACTGCCGCCCTCGGGGCGCGGGGCAGAGGGCCGGGGGCGGGGGTGGCAGGAGAAGGGCAGGAAGCGCTACTAACGAGCGTCTCGGCGCCGAGCTGTTAATTGTTCATGTCGTTCCGTGTTCGGGTTGAATGAGCCCCGCGGCGGGCGGGCGGGCGGAGCGCGGGGCCGGGTGCTGGGCCCCGCGTGGCACGGCACGGCACAGCCT